CCGGGAGCTCGCCGAGAGGCTCCCGAGACCCCCCGATAGGCTCCCGAGGATCTCTCCTGGCCGATCCCTGCGTGGACCAGCGCCTTCCAGTCCGCGGGCGGCCCGAGGTGCACACGCGCCGGGCCCACGCCGCGGCCGCGCCCCCGTGCGCCGGCCGCCCGCGCCGAGGAAGTCCCGCCGCGTGCCGCATGGGTGGACGCGGGGCTGGCAGGCCTGAGCTGGATCGGACCCCGAACTCTGACCACCTACCAGGCCACCCCAACCCAACCCGAAGACCCGAATTTCGGGTTGGGGGGGGGTGAGCGCACCACATGTGTGTTTTTTCGATGTTTCCCGACCCCCCCCCCCACTGGAAATCGAGGGAAAATCTGAGCCTTCGGGTTGGGTTGGGGTGGTTTGGTGGGTGGTGACGCTCGGCTCGGATCGGGCACAGGTCGGATCGCCAGCAGGTCGCCGCGCAGCGGATCGGAGTCGCATCGCCGCGCCCGGCTCCGCCCGGCCCCGGCCGACGCCGGTGAGCCGAGCCCAACCGAAGCGAATCGGACTGGCGGCGGGCCCAGCCGTCGAACCGCATCGCATCGCATCGCAGGCGGCCCTGGCGGGGGTCGAGGATCACTCCAGGCCTCGCGCAGTCGTCGTGGGGCCGTTTGGGGTCGGCCTTGGGGGCTTCCCTGAGCTGTTTCCTTGCTCCGCTGGCGGAGCTGGATCTCCCTGGGACGTTCCGAGGGAGCCTGGGCGGCACGGGGGGAGGGTCGAGGGGGCAGACCGCGAGGGCCCTTTGCGAGGGCCCCTGCGAGAAGTCTGCTGAGCCGGCGGCGTGTGGGGCTGAACGGCACCAGGCGTCGGTGGAGGGGGCGCCTGAAGACGAGGGGCGCACGACGTTTCTCAACAGGAGATGGCTCGCCCGTGGGCTCTTGAGAAGAAGACGAGGTGCACGTGTCAGCGCCGGCCCGTGGGCTCCTGAGAACCCCAGCTGGCGGGCGGGGGGAGGGGGCGACCGGAGGCTCAGAGGGGCCCCGGTGGGGGCCACGAGGCCAGGCGGCCGCGGCCCATGCTGAGCCTGCGGAGGGGGGCGAGCCGCGGCCCGAAACCATCGGGGAGGGGCCAGGGGGAGGGGGCGAGGCGAGGCCCAGGGGCCTCGTCGTTGGTCGCCGTCAGCGTCGTCATCGTCGTTGTGGCGTCGTCGTTGTGGCGTCGTCGTTGTCGTGGCCGTCGTTGTGCCGCCGTCGTTGTGCCGCCGTCGTTGTGGCGTCGTCGTCGTCGTCGCCGTCGTCGTCGTCGTCGTCGTCGTCCTTTGTCGGCGTTGCTGGTCGTCGTCTTCGTCATCGTCGGCGTTGCTGGCGTCGTCGTCGTCATTGGTTGTCGTGGTGGGGCTCTGAGGCCGAGGGGGATGCTGGAGAGGGGGCCGGGGGAGGCGAAGAACGCGGGCCGCGGGAGCTAGCCAGGGGGAGAGGGGGCGGGCCAGACGAGCAACAACGAACGGAGAAATGATGACGACGCCTGCACGCCAGCTGCGGAAACGAGGGGGCGCGCAATGTAAACACCCCGTCGTCCGTAGTCATTGGCTCAGCGGCGCTCACCGCGCCAAAGGCCCAGGCAGAACACAATCTTTGTCTGATGTACCGTAGTTCGATTCAGGCTGGGCTTCAAACAAAATTCATCGTCCGTTTTGACCTCGTCATTTTGATTCCTTTATGGGGGCAGGGAAGGCGAAAGAAACGAACATAATCATGGCGACGAATCAAACGCACCTGTGCAAGACCTCCTGAGCCATCAGAGCCCTCGAAGCTGGTCACAGCGGGCGCAAGAGACCCAACAAAGCCAAGCCCAGACACTGATCCCAAATTATTACACCACAATTCTGGCTCTTCGCTGCTTGTTGCTATCTCGCCTCATCGTGTCCTGGCGCCTCCGAGGTCCAAGAGGTCTTCAAGACGGCCCAGTACCACCCCAAACCAGCCCTAACACTCCCCCGTATGGCCCCCAGACTCTAAAAAAAGACCCAGGACCCCAGACGGGACGCTCATCATGTTGCCCCAAGAGGCCCTGCGGTAGCCCCAAGAGAGCTGCAAGAGTGCGCCAGAGAGGCCCGAAAAGACCATACACCAGTATGGCACCATGCGGACAAGCGCCCCGCGGCGGAGGCGGGGGGGGTGGAGGGGGGGGGGAGGGCGGGTAGCAATGGGGGGTGACCGAAATAGGGGGTGAAGAAAAAGGCCCCGGGCCCCTGTAGGATCCTTTTCTCCACCCCCCATTTAGGTCACCATCGTCATCATCCCGCGAGTGGCTTCTGACCCCGCCAGGTCGCCAGCCGCCGCTCTCACGGAGCAGCGTGTGGCTGTAGCCTTCATTCTCCTGCCAGCGCGCCCCCGGATGCAGGGCCCACCGTCTGCCTCATCACCACCCGCCCAGGGGGATGGACGCCACGGAGCGTGCACCCAATCAGTCCGGCGGCCCGGGCCGAGCCTGCGGGCGCGCCTGCAGAGAGGCGCGCCAGGCCTCCAGGCAACCGCCGGCGTTGAACGAGGGCCAGAAGACATAGCCAAACGTTCGGTCACACACGTGTCCAAGCCATACCCCCCCCAAAAAAACACTCAGCTGCGGTTGGTCGTGCCGTCGGCAATGCAAAAAATGGAGTAGTTAGGCTGGCCATTCGCGGCTAATACCCTCATCGCCCCTCACCTTCGCCTCCACATCAAATTGTAGCCTCGTCTCTCGGAGCCCTCAACGCGGACCCCAACTGCTTCAGCACATCCAACTAGCGATGCACGAGATGCCACAAGAGAAGAACCCAGATCGAGAAAACTGTCGCAAGAGCTCCCGCACATCCTGCCCGCTATACCCGTCCCTTCCTCTTGTCCCCCTGCCCTCCTGGACATCGCATCTCCCCTTCGTCGTCCTCCTGGTCTCCCCCTCATTACAATCATCGTGCTACCATAAAGAACGCAGAATAAAGAACGCAGGGGCTTTGCTGGCCACGGCTAACCTCGGCCACGAATGGGTGTCCTGACCTCGATCTAAGGAACGACCCGACCACCAGAGCCACTTCTGAGCCCGAAGTGTTCTTTTGTTCTATATATATATATATAGATAAAGGCGTCTTGACTGTAGGGCAGCTCGTGCAGCTCCGATTACTTCCACGAGGCCTGCCATCCGGGGCTCGGCAAAACGGCGTAAGACTCTGCAGCAGACGCATGCGATAGGAAGCCTGCCTGGGAGTGCGTGTGTCGTGTGTGTCGTCGAGATCCGAGCTCCCTGAGGTGCCCCCAAGGCCTCCGAGGGCCCCCGGGGCCGTCGAGAGACAAGAGACATCCACGGGGCACCTGCTGGCGGGCCAGTTTCTTGTTCGACGTGCCTGCCGCAAAGCGCAAAGCTCCGAGCTCGTGCGAGAGGATGGGGGCGACCGGTGGATTTCCAAGCGCCTTGGCCTCAGAGGGAGCGCCAGGCCAGGAGCTGAGGACTTCTCCCTCGCGTCCAACACGATGCCAACGCCTCCCAAGAGGCTTCGTGCACGCAGACTCCCCAGTGGCCCCCCAGGAGACGGTGGCGGGGCGAGCCGCAGGCCAGCAGGCAGGGTTCGCAGTGCGGTCCCCAAAGCAGTGGGTCCTCGCATTCTCGATGTGCGATCTTGGTGTTGGAGTCTTGCGCGGTGTCAGCTACGGCATGCGATCTGTATGGCGCAGCATCTGTGACGAGAAATGTGTGGTGCAAGCTATGTGGTGCAAAGTATGGGCTGCAATCTGCGATGTGCAATAGATGTGGTGCAACCTACGGGGTGCACCTCGCGTGGCGCAACCTAGTGTAGGCCGCCTATGTAGTGCAAACCCTGTGGCGCAACTTACGACATGCAATCTAGGTGGTGCGACATGTAGGTTAAGCATAGATGCATAGCTTTATATGTGTATATAAATATCGAAATAAATACACCTACATTGTGCTTGGCACGCGTTTGATATTACACGGTGTAGGTGTGTGTGTGTGTGTGTTGCACTTCACCGAAGACAAACTATGCTCTGCACGAATTGTGGTGCTAATTATGTGGAGCAGTGTACTTGGTGCGGACTAAATGATGCAACAGGAATAATGCAACAAGAGTGCTGCGACCTTCGTTGCACAACATACATATAACAAATATATACATAGACATGTATATCTACATATATTTGTATATGTAGACATCCATGGTGCGATCTGTATGGTGCAACAAATCTGCTGCAAAACCCGGCGAAAATTATATGGCGCAATGTGCGTGGTGTGCCGCAGATTGAGGTACTTCGGAAACGTCAGCAAATGCACGAGACGGTCACGAGGCGGCCACGGACGCCCACCAGCCGAAAACCGAACGGCCCAGGCAACGCACGAGGCGCCCATGGGTAGAACACCTGAAGACCCAACCAACTTGTTGCGATAAAGCGTCACGCAAGTCGGCCACTGTGTGGAGCAACACGTGCGGTGCAATCTTTACGGTGCAGTGCAGTCCATGCTGAGCAAATGCTGCAAGCGCGCGAGGCGTCAACGAGGAGTCCGCGGGCGCCCTCTGGCCGAAAAGCCCAGCAGCGCCAAACAGCGCACGAGGAGCCCACGAGGCGGCGCCAACTGGCGGAAAACCCTGCCGCGCCAGCCAGCGCACGAGGCGCTCACAAAGCAGTAGCCACGTGCGCCCTCCGGCTAAAAGCTCGGCCGCGCCAGCCGGTACACGAGGCGGCCACGGGCGCACGCCGGCCAAAAACCAGGCCGCGCCTGCCAATGTACGGAATCCAAGACACCCCGAATGCAAGCACTGCGCTGGGAAAGACAGCAATGGCTTTGGGGGTCGCTTCGGATCTTCCACCACGGTGGTGCCCATCTGCACTAACCAGCCGTGAGCTGATAGTGGTCCATTTACTCGCCAGCTGTGGTGAAACGGTACGCGACAAAATGTGATAGGCGGCATGCACGACGAGAAGCGTGGGAAAATGGACGGCGCCCGGGCCCTCCCAGCACGCGCTGCCAATGCCGTCCTCTTCGCGACGATCCGCTTGAGCTTCGTGTCGATCTCCTCCCCCCGCCGCAACCCATGCCAACTGTTTGAAGCTAACCTCTTCCTAAGAAGGATAAATCCATTTTAATGTTTCTTCCTGCAGGGAACATGCGACGCGTGAGGGTCACCCGGTGACGCGCCTGTTAACGCTGAGCGTCGCCAGGCAGCTCGATGGCCCTTCCACGGTTGATGTTCTTGAGCCCTGTCCCTCCCTCCTCATCCTTCCTCTTCCTTCCTCCTCCTACTGTCAGCGTCAGCTCGGCGACTCTCCCCCAAGAGCCCGAAATGCCAATGCGAATCGACTAGCTATATCTGTCACCGTGCCTCGAGGCAAGAGTTGGAATGTTCTCAAATTCTGTGACTTCTCTGTCCTGAACTCGCCGGCCTAATGGGCCAGAGGCGTGCTAAGATCTCCGGCAGCTACTTTACAATATTTCTACGTCGCGCGCGCTGGGCGGCCCCTTGGGGTCACGGGACGCAAAGTACCCTGGCCGGTTCGGGTCAGAGATGGTTTTCCTTCTGGGCGCCGCCCTTCAGGCCCTCCAGAACGTTCCAAGAGGGCTCCCAGTCGTCGAACGATCGGTCCAAGACGCCGAATGTGGCCTTCAGATGGCCCAAGACGCTCTTCCAACACCCCAAGAGGCCACGAAGAGCCTTCCCAAGAGGGCCCCCAGAGGCAAACAGTAATGGATGTCCTGTGGTGTTTCAAGGATTTAGGCGTTCTCGCCATTCGTCTTACCCGCCCTCCAAGACGGCCCAAGAGGCCCCATAAATCGCCCCAGTACGACCCAAGACGCCTCCAAGAGAGTCCCAAAACGGCCCCAGAGGGCCCGAAAACAGCGACCATCTTCATTCGGATGTCAGGGGCAACGACACACACACACATACACATATATTTCAATACATATATATATATATAGATATATACAACGTATAAAAATACACACGAAACTATATACTACAATCATAAATACATGCATATGTATTACGTGTGGAGAAAGAGAAAAGACAGCCCATAGAGGTGTCAGGAGCGCCCCTACACATCCGGCCTTGCGCCGGCTGTGGACAAAAACTGCATCGTCGTCAAACGTCACTTCAGCGTTTGTGCTGTCCGCCTCGCGTTCTCGAAGCCGGCACCCTATGCCACAGGCAGCGATAGGGGGGATGGGCATAGGGGGGACGCATCGACTTCGAATGGCCGATACATCGCCCATGTATCGTCGATACATCGCCGATGCGGACCGCCCCATGCATCGTCTACCCATCGTCGACACATCGCCCTGATATCAACGATGCATCGTCGATGCATCGTCAATGTATCAACCATTCAAGGCCGATGCATCCCTTCTATGCCTAGTCCCCCCCCCCGCGATCGTTGCCCCCGAGGAGGCGGCAATAAGGGCGAATACCCCAGGGGTGGGCATTACACCTATCCCTCCAGAAGCCTCGCCGAAGACATGGAACAACAACGCCCCTGGATACAGGTATTGCTCTCCACTGGGCTGTTGGCCCTTATCGTCTGCTCCGATGCATGTTTCACCGCCGAGGTTCCTTGAAAGGTGGAGGACCAGCGCGACGTCGGCCCTCCTGAATACCAATTCGCGCCCCGCGTGCGGCGCTCTGTCACACATGTGTTCTAGCCGGGTCGCTTCCGAGCCATCCCAGGTAGGGCACCTCCTGTCCACTCGTCCGCCCATGTCACTCGACAAGGCGGCGATGACGCTCCGCTGTTGAGTCTTCAGTAACCGAAGGAGCCCCCCCCCCCCCGCTGCTGCCAATCCATCATCAAAAAATTAAAACTCTGGATGAAGGAGCTCAGAGTGGACGCAGAGGCGTCTGGCACGACTTGGCAAGCGAATGCGAGGGACACTGCCCAGATCTGCCCATGGATTCGATGTCGTGGGAAAGTCACAGCGTGGTGTAGACTGACATCACGCCCGACCCCATGCTTTCTGTGTGCTCTGTTCGAGCCGGGTCGAGCCGTCAGGGCCAGGGGGCCTGGCACGGGGCAGCAATCCAACGCCCGCCCTGATCTCGTCGCAACCCTCCGATCTGCGGGCACCGTCCGAGGGTGCCCTCTGAGAGGATCGGCCGCGAGCAAGCGGGAGCGGTCTTCTGAGAAGACCTTCCCGCCCCAAGCCTCAGAGAAGGCCCGGGGCACATGGCGGCCTCCAAGGAGGAAGCCCTGTCAGACGCCGTCCGCCCTCTCAGAGACGGACGGTCGGTGATCGGGAATACTTCGCGAACGCTCGCCATCGCTACCGCGCACCTGTCCGCCGCTGGAGCCGCACCCCCACCCCAAGAGCGTGCACAAAGGCGAGCCGCGGGCGCCACCGTCATCGGCGGAGGCTGCCGGGGCCAGGGGAGGCACCAGGAGACGACAGAAGCCTGACAATTTGTGGACTTATTGGGTCGGCGCCGGCCCCCCCTCCCACCGCCCCTTCCCTGGTGCGCGACGTGCGGGGCGGCGCCGAAGGCACCGCAAGGGGGGACCTCCGAACACTTGTGAACCGCGAGGGGTCCTGGAACCCCTCCCGATGATGGGGGAATCCGTATTTTGGGGCGCGGGCTTTACTTGAGCTGAGGCGGGGGGGGGGGCCGGGTGGCACGAAAGACCCTTTTGCGGTCATGTCTGTGCCTATCATGGTTGCTCCCCTCCTCCTCCTCCTCCTCCTCGTCCTCCTCGTCCTGCTCCTCGTCCTCCTCCTCCTCTTCTTCTTTTATGATTATCATTCTTATTCGTCTGATTCTTATAACTTTTACTATCAATGAAACTATCAGTATGGTAGCCCGACGCTGGGCAGCAGTCAGGAGCCCCGACTGTAGATGGACCGACTGCGGACGACGCCCGAGAGGGCACGGGCCCCTTCCGAGAGGAACCCGTACACGCGACAGACAGGATACGGCGGGGGGCATTTTTTTTTATCTGTGTAGGCGCCGTGCGAGCACGGCGGTTTCATGCACGCGTTCTAGGGAGGGGGCGGCAAGGCAGGCGGAGGCCCGAGAGCGATTACAGCCGCCCGCCGAGCCCTCACCAGCCCACGGCAGACCCCGCCGCGCGGCCCGCGCGGGCGGCCGCTGCCCGCGCGGCTCTCCCGCGCTCGCGGGCCGCCTCAGCGTCCGCGAAGCCGTGGGCGCGGAGGACGCCCTCGAGCCCAGGGCGGAACCGCCGCGGCTCGGCGTCCTCCGCCCGCGGGGCCGCCGCGGCCAGGCGCCGGGGCGCCGCGGCGCTCGGCGGCGCAGTACCCTGGCCCCCAGCGCCAGCCGCAGGTGGCGGGGGCGGGGCGGCTGCAGGCTGCCGCTGCGCTGGCACGGGCGCCGCCTCAAGCGCCTGCTCCTCCGCGCCGTGGCCCTGCCTGGCCAGGAGTGCCGCCGCCCAGCGCAGGCGTGTGCTCTCCATTGGCGAGGCCAGCGGCGCGATCGGATCCTTCGACGCTGGCAGGATGCCACGTGCGAAGTCCGACCGCGCCTGTGCCCTGGAGCCCTTCTTGCTCTTGGGCTGCCCAGCCGCCGCGCTGGCCCCGCACGGCTCGCCCAGGCCGCGGTGCGCGTACCTGGGGAGGCGGCAGTACATCCAGCAAGCCACGCAGACCAGGAAAGGCTCGGAGTCGTCGCCCTCGACGCGCGACTCCATTAGGAGGTGGCCGTTGACCCTCCATCCCGCTGGACGGGCCGCATCTGCCGCCTCCGCCGGGGCTGGGCCGCTGCCCGCCGCCGCTGCCGCCGCCAGGCGCGGGCTGGGCGCGGTCGCCGAGGCCTCGCGGCGCCTCGGCTGCTCCTGCGCCCTGCGCTGGGCCACTCGGCGCAGCACCTCCGCGGGCGTCTCGGCCGAGGCTGGGCGGAGCCTCGCGGGCGAAGGCCTCGAGCTGGAGGCGCCAGCTGCCGCCGCCGCTGCCAGGGCCGCCGCCGTGGCGAGGCGGGGGCCGCCGTCAGCCGCCGAGGCCTGCACCTCGCCATCGTCAGCCGCGCGCACCTCCGCGTCGTGCATCATCCCGAACTCGCCGCGCCCCTGGGACTGCGACTTCGGTGGGCTGTATCCACCTGTCCCAGGGGCGGGCTCCGCAGCTGCGGTGTACCAATAGTCGGCCTCGCCGTCGAGCTCCGCCGCCATGTAGGGGGTGAGGTCGACCAGCTCCAGCGAGCGGATGGGCCAGGAGTCCCGCAAGCCCGACTCCGTGGCCTGGACCTCGAACTCGGCGGCGTAGCGTGCCGCGTCACGGGCTCGGGCCAGGCAGCCCTGGAGCAGGAGGGCCTCCTCGTCGGCGATGGCGCGCAGCGCCGCGCCCGCCTTCGCGAGCTGGTCCGCGAGGCGGTTGCCGTAGAGCTCCACCTCCGTGAGTTCGCCCCGCTCGACGGCCGCCCGCGAACGGTGGGCGGGGATGTGCTTCACGCGCACCCCCTCGGCGGCGTCGCCGACCCTCGCCCAGAGGTGGGCGAACTGGGCCGTCGGGCCCGCCGCCCTCTTCACGTCCTTGCAGGCCCTGACCGTGCCGAGGCAGTCGATCATGAGGTGGTAGTGGCCGACGATGTCCGTGAGGGCGACCACCGCCGCGTAGTCCTCGCCTGCCCTCGCCGTCTGGCTGGGCACAAGGGCAGGCGGCACCGCCCCCCACGCCTGCGCCATCCACTCGCCGTCGGGCGTGAGCACCACCACCGACCAGCCCGCGCTCCTGATCATCGGGAAGTCGTTGTTGACGCAGGAGCCGTCCGTGAAGACGAGGGTGCCCGCGGGCACCACGAGCGCGCCCTCGTCCCAGCCGCGCGAGCGGCGCTCCCAGCCAGGGTTCCAGCGCGGCCTCTGCACCAGGTACTGGGCGTCAACGAAGAGGCCCTGGCAGAAGAGCTCCTCGTAGCGGTGGCCCAACGTGCTCACCAACTCGGCAGCTCGCTTCAAGTCGGCGGGCCTGCGATCTCGCCGCCAGCCCTCCCAGGCAGGGCACCTGTGGTGGCGGTGGGCCAGGGTCCCGCTCTCCTCGCCACAGAGCAGGCAGCGGTCGTCGATGTCGGTGCCGCGCTTG